TTTTTCAAATTTCCAACTTTAACAGACTTTTTATTTTTTGCAAAAGAGAAAAAATCTTAACATGTCTGTATAACAAGATGGCTATAGGTTATTTATTGCTAGAAAAGGTTATAATATTTCATTGAAGCGGTATGTAATTCCTGTAAAACACATCCAATTTGACCTTCATGCATGATTTATAAATTTTGTAGTTCACTAGGAAATGCTTCTAGCATGTGTCAATAGACTCTTGGTTTTCAATGATCAAGAGAAAAAACAAGAGCTGTCACAGGAGATAGCAAAGCTCAACTAATAAAATTCTGGACGCAGTAATGAGGACAAAACTATGAATAAAAAAATCAAATATGATATAAATATTTTTTTTTTAAGACAAGAAGTTATAGTTGTTCTCATCAATTCCAAGTTCAAAGGGGAATAATTCTAGAAATAGTCATACTAGAGTTATGGACCTTCTCACACAACATGTGTTTAATAATAAGAAATATATATTTGAAATTTGAACAAAATACCTTAAAAAATAAAGTTATAATATTTCTTACAAAAAAAATCTAAGTTTAAAGGGAGATAAATCTGAAAATATAAATGCTAGAGTTATGAACCTTGTCGAATAAGATGTGGCTGTTGTTGAGGAACATATATTTGAAGTTGATACCTTAAGAAATGTAAAAGTTATAGTAAACAAGAGGGCCATGATGGCCCTTAGATCGCTCACCTGTATATAGCCCCCCCCCCCCCGGGCCAATTTTTACCCAAGGGCTTTTATTTGTTTATTTGAACAGACTTGGTAGACACCCATAAGAAGATGTTTCATGCTAAACATCTAAGTTCTAGCTCATTGGGTTTTTTAAAAGAAGATTTTTTAAGTTTTTACTATACACATATAGTTAAAAACAATGACACCCCTGGGGCAGGGCCAGTTTTGACCCCCGGGCTTTAATTTGTAGATATTTACTTATAGATGTTTTATGCTTAATATCTAAACTAAAGCTATTTGGGTTTTTTCAAAGAAGATTTTTAAGTTTTTGCTATACACATATAAGGAAAATCAATGACCCCCGGGGCGGGGGCCAGTTTTGACCCCAGGGCTTTAATTTGAACATACTTGGTAGACACCCATAAGAAGATGTTTCATGCTAAATCTCTTAGCTCTAGCTCTTTGGGTTCTTTAAAAGAAGATTTTTTTAAGTTTTTACTATATGCATATAGGGAAAATCAATGACCCCCTGGGGCGGGGCCAATTTTGACCCCAGGGCTTTTATTTGAACAAACTTGGTAGACATTCATAAGAAGATGTTTCATGCCAAATATCTAAGCTCTAGCTCTTACGGTTCTTTAAAAGAAGATTTTTTTAAGTTTTTACTACATGCATATAGGGAAAATCAATGCCCCCCCAGGGCGGGGCCAATTTTGCCCCAGGGCTGTTATTTGAACAAACTTGGTAGACACTCACTAGAAGATGTTTCATGCCAAATATCTTAGCTCTAGCTCTTTGGGTTCTTGAAAAGAAGATTTTTAAAGTTTTTACTATATGCATATTGGGAAAATCAATGACCCCCTGGGGCGGGGCCAATTTTGACCCCAGGGCTTTTATTTGAACAAACTTGGTAGACATTCACTAGAAGATGTTTCATGCCAAATATCTAAGCTCTAGCTCTTACAGTTCTTTAAAAGAAGATTTTTTAAGTTTTTACTATATGCATATAGGGAAAATCAATGACCCCCCTGGGCGGGGCCAATTTTGACCCCAGGGCTTTTATTTGAACAAACTTGGTAGACACTCTTTAGAAGATGTTTCATGCCAAATATCTAAGCTCTAGCTCTTACAGTTCTTTAAAAGAAGATATTTAAAGATTTTTCTTTCGGTTGCCATGGCAACCAGTTCTGCATGGAATTAAATTCTTTGAACAATTTTTAAAGGTGACCACCAAAGGAACATTCCTGTGAAGTTTGGATGAAATTGGCTCAGTGGTTTATGAGGAGATGTCATTAAAAGCAAAAGTTTACGGACGGACGGACGAACGATGGACGGACGCCGGACGAAAAGCGATCACAAAAGCTAACCCTGTCACTTTGTGACAGGTGAGCTAAAAATAGTACTTTTTAAGGAAAATTCTGATTTCAAAGGGGAAATAAATCTGAAAATATTGGTGCCAGAGTAATGAACATTATCGAATAAGATGTGGCTGTTGTTGAGGAACATATATTTGAAGTTGATACCTTAAGAAATAACATCATAAGTTATAGTAAATAATAGTATTTTTTAAGGAAAATTCTGACTTCAAGGGAAAATAAATCTGAAAATATTGGTGCTAGAGTTATGAACCTTGTCACATAAGATATGACTGATGATAAGGAACATATATTTGAAGTATGAAGTTGATACCTTAAGAAATGAAAAAAGTTATAATAAAAAATAGTATTTTTTAAGGAAAATTCTAATTTCAAGGGGAAATAAATCTGAAAATATTGGTGCTAGTTGTGAACCTTGTCACATAAGATGTGACTGATGATAAGGTACATATATTTGAAGTATGAAGTTGATACCTTAAGTAATGAAAAAGTTATAGTAAAATCTAGTTTTTTTAAGGAAAATTCTAAGTTCAAGGGGAAATAAATCTGTAAATATTGGTACTTGAGTTATGAACCTTGTCACATAAGGTGTGGTTGATGATTAGGAACATATATTTGAAGTTTGAAGTTGATACCTTAAGAAATGAAATAGTTATAGTGAAAAGTATTTTACTGAAACAAAACTTTAATCTGAAATCTGGACGCGGAATTGCAAGGGCGAGTAGGACAGCTCTTCATACTCTTCGTATAGTCGAGCTAAAAACAACAACACAAAATGTAATGTGGTTATATAATATTTAATCTTTTGTATATAGTAATAATAATTGATAATAAAAATAAATTATAATCTCTTAACATGTACAAATTGAAATGGATAATATCTATTTTTAATAAAAATTAGGGTACAACTTAAAATACATTTTACAAGTAGGCTTTATTTTTCTTTTTAAAAATTGAAAATAGGCTTAATTTTGACAACAATATTAAATAAGGAAGCACTGTAATAAATATTACTACATTGACAATAACAAGACTTGTAGGGTGTATTTAGTAATTTAAAAGACAAAACGAAAAGAACATCTAATATAAAAGCAGTGAAAAATACAAACAAGACCTGTCTAAAGACAACATGCTCTGATTTTCTCAGAACTGGACAGTGTAATTGAAGCAACATAGAAAATATAGGCACAATTCTGATAAAAAAAATGCTTGGCAGACTTACATGCCCTTGATTTTGTGCAAATATTTCAAGTCAGATAAAAATATTTAAAAAAAAAAAAATATTCCGTGTCAAAAAGAGAAAAATAAGCAAAAATGCTTTTGAGCATTCAAATTATAAAAAAGTATTTTCACTTTGAAATGAAAATCTTTTTACAGATTTTTGGAGATGTACCTTTAAGAAAATGTTTATAAAGAAATTCTAATTTGATACCATAGGCATCATAGATTGAATGTATTTCCTATCAATGTGTAAATGATAAAATCTACATTACTGAAAAAAAAATTACTAAACTAAATCTAACAAATAAATAAAACAAAAACACTCCAGACTAACAAATAAGTAAGATCTCACAAATAGCAAGATCTGCCACGTAGAAATTCATTTCAATTTACATAGTGAACAAATACTCCCAAATTTAAAATGAATATTTTTGATACTTTTTTCAGAAATGTATCTTTAACCAAGAAATTCAAAGGTAAAAAAGGGGTCATAACTGAGAAAAGAGTTTGAAGTGATAAACTTTCCACTGTTATTCATATTGAGAAATTGGCCTAGGAAGAAAAAAATAAGTAAAAAGGGGGCATAACTTTGCAAAAATGAATTTTAGGACTATCTGCCCTTTTGAAATGTTATTATATTTTGATAGTAAACATGACTGTCACACAGACGCTTGGGGTTTGGAGCTCAAAACGCCTTTAAAATCCAAATAAAATGCATATTTGTCAATCCCAGGACATGTACTGATCATATATATAAAAAAATCTTAATATATCCGTTTTGAAAAAAAATCATATTTCAACATCTATAATAATACACAAGATAAAAATGTTAGCCGGAAAAAATCCGCACCCCTACCGTCATAATCACCATGTATTTTAATCCATTTCCAATATTTTCACATAATCCTTTGGTCCATCGACACAGAAGATATAATTCTTCACGATGATGGTCAATTTTAAACTTCAACGGTAATATAAACAACGCAACAGCCGAAATAAACATCAATATTCTCGCCGTTTTTTTCAACGACAAAAACTTTCGATAAATTCAATGGGCTATGAACGAAGCTATCCGATTATGTGGTTCCCAAACTTATAAGCGCTGCGCATTTTGCACACGGCAAAGCTGGGGCCACATAATCGGATAGTGACACATGCACACCTCAATCACTGGGCTTAAAATATCAAAATTTATAAAACATACTGAAAGTAGTACATTTACATACTGTAGAACTCGTTTTATTAGTGTTTTTTTTTCTTGTTTTTTTTTTGTTATTATTCACATATCAAATTCTATTCACAGTTATTGTATATAAATATGTAAGCTCAAAACTGTGAATATCTTATTTTACCCAGCAACCAGTTTTGAACATAATTATGACACAAATTCATAAATATGTAAAAAAATACAACTTTTGGACAAAAAATGCAAAATTTTGACACCGCAAATTTAAAGCATAACACAGTATAATTTATGGTAAGAATATACGATTTGGTGACAAATTTTTCAGTAATGCTATAATTATGATAACTTAAATAATAATATGCATACTATCAGTTCTAATTTTTTTCTTAATAATGATAAAAATAATTAATATATTCATCACATGCCACTTTTGCAACTCCATAAAAACAGTAATGCATGGCCTTGCATAAAATTTTATGACACCATTCATGTAATACATACATTGTGTAAAGACATGCTAAATGTTAGTGTTACACAAGACATGTCTAAGAAAAGCGGTTCCTTTTTACAATAAATAGTTCTTATTTTGGATTTGTGATTTTTGTTATTTGTAGCAGTGTTATTGTGTGGATTTGTGGTTTTTGTTTTTTGTAGCAGTGTTATAGTGTGGATTTGTGATTTTTGTTTTTTGTAGCAGTGTTATTGTGTGGATTTGTGATTTTTGTTTTTTGTAGCAGTGTTATTGTGTGGATTTGTGATTTTTGTTTTTTGTAGCAGTGTTATTGTGTGGATTTGTGATTTTTGTTTTTTGTAGCAGTGTTATTGTGTGGATTTGTGATTTTTGTTTTTTGTAGCAGTGTTATTGTGTGGATTTGTGATTTTTGTTTTTTGTAGCAGTGTTATTGTGTGGATTTGTGTTTTTTGTAGCAGTGTTATTGTGTGGATTTGTGATTTTTGTTTTTTGTAGCAGTGTTATTGTGAGTTTTTTTATAAATATTATCCTGCTTTCAGTCATGTGTATAAGATAAATACCATAACAGCTGCCACACTGATGTTTATTATTTCACTTGATTTTTGTATCAGAAAATTTTCAAAGACAAATTACTTTTTTTTTCTTAAAAAATCTTGCTTTAACAAAAATTTAAACAGTGTATTGAAAAAGTAAGTTTAATGGAATGTTGAAAACACACACAATAATATAAAACACATACACAAGAGGTAATAAATCTATAACAAGAGCTATCAAAAAATGCATATAACAGGGGAGGTAACTACTGACTACAAAGATATTTGGAAAAAGAGGAGGTAACTCTTGATTTACAAAGATACCAAATAGATCTAACAATGAATGAAATTCACATCAAACTGTTACAAATCTAGCGATTGAAAGCTTGGCACAGAGGGGTATATCAAAAATCATCTTTAAAAATTACATATACTTTGCATTAATTGAAATATATACACACAAATTAATTCACTCAAGGAAGCCTGAATTATCATTAACAAAATGAGCATGTTTACATATCTGTTAGCTGATAGTGAAAAAATTTGAACACAGTCACCAATGATAAATAGCTTATACCTAGATTATATTGAAAATTAAAAAAAAAAGTCATTATGGAAACTAGAATTATTTTTTTTATTCAGGTCTGCCTTAGCAACCTTTGACATAAGGTCACAGAAGCAACAAAAACATAATTCTTAAAGACAGGCTTGTATGTTTGAAGATACAATGGTTCAAAATTGTGACTAGCTTGATATCACTTCACTGATAAAATGATAGAGCAAACATTGCAAAAACTGAACACATTTAAACAAACTACAAAACACAAAGTCTGAATTTATGTCTGAATTAAAACTTTCATACTCGCACATGATGTACTCCTTTACTACCACATAACTGGGTAATAAAATAATAGTCACATCAACCATTTAATTCTTTAAACAGGAAACAATTGTAGCACAACACCAAAATTATAAGGAGAAGAAATAAATTATCAAAATAAAAACTGCAAACAACATCAAAATGATTAAGGCAAGAAATAATTGCTGACAGCACCATATTAGTAAACAAATGAGCCGTGTCATGACAAAACCAACACAATGGATTTGCGACCAGCATGGATCCAGACCAGCCTGCACATCCGCGCAGTCTGATCAGGATCCATGCTGTTCGCTTACAAACCCTATAACAAGTAGAGAGACTGATAGCGAACAGTATGGATCCTGATCAGACTGTGCGGATGCGCAGGCTGGTCTGGATCCATGATGGTCGCAAACCCATTATGTTGGTTTTGTCATGACACAGCTCAAATGATAACTGTGTACAATACCAAATTGCTTAAGAAAGAAATAATAGCAGTATAAACCAGCAAATTGTTTTGGAATTTTTCATTCAGAATTTGATTTGGACCTCTACATTTTGGAAAGAAATAGCCTACTAGCTGTGTACAACACCTAATTGTTTTGAAAAGATAATAGCTGCGTAATAGTTTTTGTAACAAGAAGTGATTTCCAGAACACTACATTATTCAGACAAAAAAAGAACAACTAAAAAAAAAACAAGAGGGCCATAATGGCCCTTTTATCGCTCACCTGACTTTAGTAATCATTATAAATTTTTACAATATAAATATACATTTAAGAAAAATTCCATGAATACATAAATAAAGAAATAAAATAAATGAATAAGCAAAAATATTATGTCTTCAGGGGTAAGTTAACCTACGATGTTAAACAGAAGGCCGAGACATGATAAGATATTTGTACCAGCATTTGTCTATCGTTATCAGTTTGGTTTATGTTTACACCTGCAAGATGAGCGATTATTTGTTATTTTGAATGAAAGTGTGACATTTGGCAAAATCTGTTCGGATCCGAGAGGTAAATTTTAGAGTAAAATAAGAACAAAAATTGAAAAAATCGTCCGGAATTCGGAGTAGACAGGTTCCGGATCCGAAAGGTTTTTTAGTATTGAAAATAGAATGAATAAAATCGGGACCGGACACTTTGTTCGGAAAAGAAAGGATTCCGGATTTGAAGGGTTCGGATTAGCAAGGCTCCACATATAAAATGATAAATGGATATCTTACTTGCAATGTTTATATTTTTATATAATGTTTTTTCTAAAGATTTTCATTTTATATGTTTCTTAACTACATTGTATTTGTAAATTTGTTTTGTTTGTAAATATTTACATTATGTACATTTGTATATTTGATAGAGGCTCATAGGGAAGACTGAGCATGCCTAACTATGTTTAAGTCTTTATTATTATTAACTTTATGCCAGGAACATCCCAGGGAAATACCATAAAATTTGACCTAATGATTTAAGAGCAGAAGTTGTTTGAAAAAAGTTGACAACAGACGCACTGATGAACGATTGACTCCGGATAAATTGTGATCACAAAAGCTCACCTTGAAGATTTTGTGCTTAGGTGAGCTAAAAAAGCAGTTATACACAGTACTGATTATTCAGAACAGAAATATTATTTGAACAAAATTAAGATTATTGGCAAAAAATTATAGCTAAACTGCATTGAAAATATAGCTATACACCAAAGATTGAATATTACGCAAGAAATAATAGCTGTATCAACTTTATAAGATTTCAAACAAAAATTGGCGGACAGGAAAAATGATTTTGATTATTTATACATAAAATGAGAATGAACACATTCATGAAGTTCACTTAAGAGTACATAGTATGTGTAACTAGTTACCATGATATCAACTTATGATTAAAAAAATTGGTTTAACTAATAACTAAATTGATTGGTTTAACTAATCATTAAATTAATTGGTTTAACTAATCACTGAATTAATTGATTTCCAAAGAACAAATAAATAAACTTTGGCAAAATTTACAGGATATAAAAATTATCTCAAATTTCTGATAATATCACACAATCATGTATGGTAAAAACTCTACATATTTGTTAGCCATAGAAGTGAACTTAATATGACCCTTAACCCTTATCCCACTAAATATCTTAAATGGACTGGCCCATATTTCAATCTGGACTGAACCATTCATCATTTGCGGGGGAAATTTCAAAATATGTACTGACTGAATAGTGGACAGTGAAGACCATGATTGGAAAGTATGGTCTGCACTTGTATTATAGGTAAAATTGATAACTGCAAAATGGTGGCAATAAATTTTACTTGTTCTATGTTATCATGACTTGCACTATTCACTTCTAAGTCTGTACATAATTTTCATATTTTCTTCAAAATGATAAAATAATTTTGTATATGCTTTAATCCATTTAGCACGGATAGGGTCAAATGTATTTGTTTGTTTTTATTTCTTTTAAATATTTAAAAACAAAACATAGGAAATAATTAAAATAATTCTACAGAAGTACAATAATACATACTTAAATTAAAATATATCATTTGTAACAGTAGAGATAAAAATAAGATTAGATAATGTTAGAAAAGCAGGCCATTATAGTAATAATAAATATCAAATAGATTACACAACAAAAGTACATTTTAGGTATTATAAAAATAGATATCTTATACAATTTTAAAAATCATTACAACATTCAATTTCACCAAAAAAAATTCAATAAGTATATGGCATCTTAAATTACTTCTGTGACGTCATTCCTTTGTTCTGAACGTACTGTATTTTTAATACAGTACAGGTAGGTGTCCAATATTAACGTGTAAGTCCAATTATATTGTGTAACACATTATAATGAAAGAAGCTTCAATGACCACAGGATTTTGTGGAAAATCATCAAAATTAAAGAAAGAATAAAATATTAAATAAAATGTAAGTTAACACGAGTAATGCAACGTTTTTCCTTTGCCCATTACGTATTTTACAGAATTTTACTAAAAGAACAATAATTTGTTATCTGTCCATGATTTCATTGCTCATTTCACGAATTCTATTTTCAAGCCTACTGGTTTTCGATCTCCAAGCTCTTAAAATTATTTTATACTGTTTACGCTTCCGTAGTGAAAGTCAGTTAAGATATGATTTTAATGGGATTGTTAATTCTTGCCTATTGTCCGTTTTTTCTTTTTACATGTATTTTAATTGACAATTATACTTGATTTGATTCATTGTATGTACGTACTGTTTCAGTAAGGTCAACTTTTCAAATAAGTGTAATGATCAGCTTTTCAGATAGATGAAATTATAGAGAAAATAAATTCATCTTTTCAAAACAAAATCTGTTATTTTTGATTGCATATATGTTTGACTTATATAAACGATTCAAGACCCCTGTGGTATGACAAATATCAATTCAAAAAATAAGAAAATCTCATTTCGTTGCGTAAATATCCAAAATTAACCCTAATGGTCATTTTAACACAACATTTTACATCTGTGATAGCTGTTGTCATATGAAAAATAAAAATATCATTTTTAACACTTAATGGTCAGTAAAAATCCTTCCTAAAAGTAATAAAATAGAGAAAATAAGAATCCATAAAGTCATCTCAGTCAAGCATTCAAAATATCCAAGATTTAACACAAATTTGAAAACTTTTATTTTTACTATTTCTTGTAAAAATCTCGAATGTACAAATTTATGTAACTGTATGTGTGTAATCCAACATTTGTACATAATTGGTCTTATTTCAAAACACGAAATTTTCATGCTTCGGACATTTTGTTATTTTGGAGGCTCTCTATAGGGTTTTGCAGGTAAGATTAAATAATTACTAAAGCATAAAATTGTACATTTTTAGCACAAGAAACATAATGTCTAATTTTTCGATGGATAACATGATATTTGATAGTAAAAGTAGTAATTTAAGTAAGATATAAGCCTCAAACTGACCAATAAGTAAAATATTGAATTCCCCTCGGCGCTACGCGCCTCATGAAATTCAATATTTGACATATTGGACAGTTTTCGGCTTATATCTACTACATAATTAAATGATTAGGCCAAAAATTACATATTTGAATGGCTGAAAAAAAAATCAGTTTGTTTTGAAATAAATTTGAATATCAATTTTATAAATTATAACTGTAATCCTAACTCTTCTTTACTGAGTTATTTTTTTGACATGACTGGACTGGAAATATATTTTTTAAGATAAATGTTCCATCTGATGTAGGTCTAGACCAATAACTTGTGTGCAAAATTTCAGATCATTTGCTTTCTTCGTTTTTCCAGAATAATTATTCTAATTGTGGAAAGTGAACCAAAATTGAGAAGCGTTACAATGCTTTTCACTCAAATCTAGCTCAAATCAAATCATGCTGGTCGCAATGTACTATGTTGGTTTTGTCATGACACGGCTCAAATATAACATGTCAGTTTTCATTGGTTTCAAGTCACACAAACACTGCTTGTGATTTTCTAACTTTTCTGGAGGGGAAGAATTTGGGTATATCTCCATGCTTTATTTTGAGTTAGGACACCCTAGTAAAACTAAAACAACCACTATGCAGTAAAAACATAATAGTTATTTAAGTGAACTGCTCTATAATGGAAGGTTTGTAATACAATAAATACTAGTAATTACTTTGATACAATTTAGTATCTGACATAACAACAAACCACAAAATAATTTTATATAGATTTCGTTTGCAAGTTCAAGATTTATGATCCGAAATTACATATCTTTACATAGCAGACAATAAAGTATTTCTTGACCAGAATATTATTATTCATTTCATGAATACTCATACTCAATCACTTGCAAATCTATGAACATTTATTCCCTGCAATACTTTACAAGACTATCAGAATGACACATTTCTTTTGTTTTTTTTATCAATATTTGAAACACTAATGGAAAAAATGTGCCTTTTGTAGACCAATCCACTTTAAGACATAAAAAAATAATTCTATGGACATGTATGAAAGGTTGTTCAAATCATATAACCCTCACGTAGCTGTTTGGGCTTTATAAGCTTACAACCATGCTAGGCCATATAATGTGTCTAAATCTATATGAATATTAACATACCAATGGTTTTATATCACTTAAGTATCTTAACAGAAATCACATGTTTACATATAAAAATCCCATTTCGTTATAAAACAGAGAATGGTGACATTCACTATTAACTAGGTCTGGTAATATACATTTATATACCACTTACATATACCACTAAATATCTAGTGAAATTTACCATTAACTACATGCCATTCATCATTAAACTTGACCTGGTGACATTTACCATTTACTACATGCCATTCATCATTAAACTTGACCTGGTGACATTTACCATTTACTACATGCCATTCATCATTAAACTTGACCTGGTGACATTTACCATTTACTACATGCCATTCATCATTAAACTTGACCTGGTGACATTTACCATTAACTACATGCCATTCATCATTAAACTTGACCTGGTGACATTTACTATTCACTATGTCTGGTGACATTCTCCATTTACAATTTTACCATGATTTCCATTCATTGACAACTTTTCATTTTTATCTTTTGAGCGAAATTGTCGTAAAATGTCATTTTTCAAAAGTCTCCAAAACAAAATCGGGTTTATAAGATACATGACAAACATTGTACTAACAATAAATATATGGTACACAAGTGTCAGTCTATCCCATTCAGTATAGATACCCCAACCAATCAGAATGACGCCCCATATCCGGAATCTTATAAACGTGATGAAGTTCAGCCATACTACCATCTTATACAACCAGTGGTCAAACGGCCATTTGTCAAACTGCATAAGTTTACGGGCATGCAGGAATATACTGTTGATTTCTGTCATTAGGGCTATGATCGTGTAAGGAACATTCACCTTGTATTGTATGTTGTAACCGAATGACCATACAACCTGTAATGTAATGACTCAGAACATTATATTTAACCAACATATTATTCACTTATCTTATATTTAACCTAATCTATCTTATATTTAACCAGCAAATTTTTTCACTTATCTATCTTAATTATATAACCAACAAATTATTCACTAATCTATCTTATATTTAACCAACAAATTATTAACAATCTACAGATGCTGGTGTCAAACTCTAACTATGATGAATACCTTAAATGGACTTGTCTCTTTTTCAATCTGGACAAAAGCAATCTATGATTTTAGGGAAAATATAAAATAACTGTTGACTGATTAGCAAATAGTGGAGACCATGATCTTGGTCTGCACTGGAAACCTGGATACATCCGGTTCCTCAATCAGTTAAACACCTGTGCAAGTCACACAGTAGAAATATGGTGATAAATGAGTCATTAAATTGCACATAATATTATAATGTAAATTATTACTTGAATCTTTAATTTTTTTGTACATTTTTCTCTAGTTTCTTTTTTCTTTTCTTTTTTTTTTATAGATATTCTGGCTTAGCTGGAACATGCAGCTTTAATAAATGTTATTGCATGAAATAGCAAAAAAGTTCAATATGTAAGCTTATTTACTTAAATATATTCAAGATTAAAGGTGAAATTCAAACAAATTTGCCAATCAAGTAACTGGTTCCTTTAAACACACTGTTGTGACAAAAACTTTGTAATCGATAACCCATTACTACATTTCAAACTTAGAATAGCTAAACTGTTCACTGTTTTACATTTAATTTAATGATATCTATATTGAAAGATCATTTGGCATTTATGACAGAATATAAGAAAAGAAATAACTTGCCCCAATATGATGTAGAATCACCTCATAGTTACTAACCAGTTTGTTATTGACAGCATGATCAAATACATCATACACAAAATATCCTGAAACAAATAAACAAAGAAAAATTCATGGTTTAAAAGTCACAACAATGCCTATCATTATTAATTTCTTATTTACAAGTAAAACTATCTATAGCACACTGACTCCTTTATTATAGGTGAAAGGTTTTACCTAATCATGAAAGTGGATAAGCTTAATAAAAACTGTAATAACAGAACAGAACAGAACAGTTCTGTGATAACAAGCTGAGGTCTTCCATGTTATTGAAAGAAGTTCTGAACCAGTTATCAGCTTTTTTTCATATGTTTGTTTGTTTGTTGTTTGTTTAATTTTTACCTTTTGACATATCTCATTGGTCAATCCAACTAAAAATACCAGCTTTCGTGGATAACTAACCAGTAATTACCAAATTATCTCAAAGTGACCGAGTACTTATCTAAGTGTATGATTTCTGAATCAGCAGTGAGAAACAAATGTCCCAGTTCAATTGTCAAGCACCCATGTATCTAACCAGCTATCTGATACTGATTCCAATGTTGAAGTTAGTATATGTATGTCTTTTAAAAATCTACCAGGTGAATAGGATTTTCTTATACAAGTAAAATATTTATAAATTCTAATATAACATTTGAATAAACATGTTAGCAATAACTGGCAATACATGTATATGGGAGGGCACCTGGCTAGAGATGTTCTTTTTATTCACAAATCCTGATAAAGTACTTAAAACTTGCACATCACTGAGAAGGCACAGGGTATCAGCAGAAAATTTAAGAACTCTGGACAGCAAAAATAAACAAAGACAAGAACTTGTACCTGTGGACCAGCTGCCGATGTCCTGAATTAAACTGTGAGGAGTAACCCTACACAGGTGACTGATCCTACAGAGTAGACAGAGACAACAAGGAAATGTGCTAGGGTGTGTGAGCTTCTAGCACAGAAAGTGACAGCTTGAAAGGTAGGCCCTTTGCTTGGCATAACCAGCCCTTTTAAGAGCAACCTCCTGCTTTCCTTATTGTCTCAGGTTACTGTACATTTTGGTACTCATTGACCACCTTCCAGTGACCTACTTTTGGTTTATAATTTACGTTTTTGGCAAATACAGCATGGATACTGCATGGAGGTAAATGAACACCACTTTGTGTTTCAAAATTAACTCTTTAAGGGCATAATTTGGTGACATGTCCTGAATCAGTACTCGACAGTGAAAGCTGCTTTTTGTGCCACCACAGGAGGATGGATCCACTTTAAACCAAGAATACACCACAAGGTAATTACACTTACCCATAGAGAAGGATAATAAGGTGTATATATAAGTGTCACAGTATAGTATCAAATCTGTTGAAATTTCTGGTTTAAACAACAAACTGAAAGCAAACAAAAATATACATTACATTCAAACTAACCAATACATGTATATCTTTTCTTTCTTTTTTTAGAAAAAAAATTAAAACATAAAATCAAAGGATATGACATTTTCATTCATCATTTAAAGATTTTGTAAGATAATAAACTTTATATATAATGATCAGATGAATTATTGTCTCATAACCATTATACAAAATAATTTTTTATGTATGGTTTGTTTTGGAAAGTTTTTTTTTTCCTTTGAAAAATAACTTTTTTCTCCTTTGAAAAAATAACTTTTTTTAAAGATGATTATGACTTGGTTATTATGAAATGCATTATTAATTCAAATAACTTAAACTTAATGTCTCAAATTTAAGAGCACACAAGTATGATATTAGTAACTGAGTTTCTCACGTGATATTATACCTTAAAGTTTTACCTCTTTTTTAGCTATAAACTACAATACATTTGTAATACTATAGTATATAAAATCAATTATACAAATATTATCTACCATTTATGTCATATAGAATGTTGATGGTCATTAATTACTATTCTTTATCTACTCATTCATACAACATGTTTCATTACTGGGTGGTATACATCTTTATTATATACAACAAAATCACATTAAATCAGCAAAATTTTAAGACCAGTCTGAGTGAGTTTGCTGTTTTAGTTCAGTCTACTGATGAAGGTTTTTTTCTACCCAAATATATGACCTATTTTAGCAAGAAGTTAAAACCAGTCAACAAAGCTTCTATTACACTTAAACAGTAGTTTGCAACTTTAACAACAGAGCAATTAATCAAATTTTAAAAAATATATATGTTTTGAAACCCAGTGCCAATAATCAGATAACCTACAGCTACCAATGACTTATAGTAAATATCTTAATCAAAATTTAACTACAGTAAACTTCACTTATAACAATAATAATGTTGCCGGAGTGCTGACTATTTATTTTCATAATGGTTGTCTAGCTCTCGCACATATACAATATAAATTTGGCAGCATTCTGAATATCATTATACATGTAAGCGGAGTAATTACTGAACATAATATACAAGTACATCTGTACACATATAAAAGTACATGTACAGTTTATCCAGTGATTTCTATAGAATATTTTCTGTGAAAAAATGTGTTTGACTTAACTAAGTGTGTAAGTTATACAGTCTATGTTCAATCAGGGACAGGGTCAGAATCTCATGTTTTAGCAGGGAATGCCAGTTATATTCATATAAAGACAATAGCGTTGAATTACAGGAATATCTGGATCTGGAACTTGTAAATATAATAGCAGAACATGTACACAGATAAACAGTAAGTGTTTAGACATAACTGGAATGTGTTTGGTTTAAGGTATAGGTTACAAAAAAAGTCTAACAAATAGGGTTCAGCTTTCCTGAAGGTTAAAATGTTATCTTAAGATAAATTGCTTCATATAATTGTCAAATCAATAAAATTAAGATGGAAAAAGAATTTTGCTGACTATAAAATACATAAACAACAAGCAATTATCATAGTATTGCAAGCAATCCATAAGTCCCCTACCGGCAGGTACGTATACTGAAGGGCCATTGGCCATTCACTTATGTTTCTATTTTAAGTGAGCACAGTGAACAGTTTTTATGTACAGACAGACAGACAGACTGAAGGACACTCTAAAGTTATTTTTTAAACATCCCTGTTATCAAAATAACATTTTTAAAGCAAAATTTAAAAAAAAAGGAGATAAGGATGTCATACATGATGTGAGTGTAACAAAGAACAATTAGTATAAATGAAGGTATGAATATTGAATGTTTATTTTGAATTTGAAGTAAATGAAAGTTAAAAGAACGAATAGGAAAAATAAAAAGTTTAAGGAGAAGATAATGGAAATATGGATGCTAGATTTATAAACCTTGTCATATTATTGTCATATTATTATGATGTGGGAGTTTGAAGAAAATCCTATCATAATTGAAGAAAATTACCAATTTCTCAAAAAAAAGTCAAGTTCAAAAGGGGCATAATTCTGGAAATAGTCTTGCTAGAGTATTGAACACTCACAAATGTTGAGTGATTTAATATAAGAAACATTTATATGAAGTTTGATGTAGATACGTTCAGAAAAAAAGAAGTGATAAAAAAAAACAATGTTTTTTTTAATGAAAATTTTAAGTTCCAGGGAGGTAATTCTGATAAATTTTGTGCTAGAGTTGTAAACTTTGTCACATATGATGTGGTTGATGACTATCAACTTATATTTAAAGTTTGAAGAAAATACCTTAAGAAATAAAGAACTTATAGTGAAAAAACTGAAAAACTAGAATTAGAAATCTTGAAATTCAGTCTATTTGTTGCCATAGCAACCAGAATTTTCAATACAGGAAGATAAGAAAAGAATGTGCATAATCTCCATACTGCCATCTATCCATATGTCAAGTTTCATAAAAATATTTTTAGTAATTTTTGCGTTATCACTGGATCCAGGTTATGTGTAAAATTTGCCATATTTTCAGTCTATTTGTTGCCATAGCAACCAGGATTTTCAGCATAGACCCCTTTCAAAATTACTAAAAATAGAACGCTGCATATCATTACTGACCACAGGTTATCTCTGGAGGCAGAAAGCTGTCTGCTAATAGCTTAAACTCATGGAAAAGAGTCTACACATGCTCAAAAATGACCATGTCTTTGGGTTTTACTCTTAATATTTCATGTCTGTAAATTTAGTTTTTTACTTTGATAAACTATCCTTTTCTGCAGAAAAAACACTTCTGATCCATTATTATTGGACAATAAAAATCTTGGCTGGTAAGCTACAGATACTGGCATTCAATGGGCCCACTGATAAGTTATTTTCCGAATTAAACTGTATTTAAAAAATTCTTTGAGAGTAAGTTATAAAAAGGCCATTTAAGTATTTAACTGACCCTAAACACTCTTCTCCCTGAATATATGAAAAATCTTTTTAATACATGTACCAGATAAACAATATGTATCTTTACATAAATCATTTGATTGAAACTGTATACTATATGTACATTTTGAAACTCAAAAGGAATCCTGAATGTGTCAAATCATGTTGCCTCTTTAAATAAAGTCATCATCATCATCATCATCATCATCATCATTATTATAATTATGTACTAGTGTTTGGACATGTGCAGCCAGTTCTGTAATGAGAAACTTACAAGTGTTGGCAAGCAAGAGACAGTGTACAAAGAACATACCTTACAATGCTTACCTGATAAAGAAAAAATATGATCAAATCAATGCAACCTAAATTGTCATTGATTTATTTTAAATCATCTTTAATTTATTTTTAACCTCGGGCATAAACTCAGTTTCAAAACTATAATTAAAAACTACCAATATTAAATTAAAAATATCAGAATACAGAAAAAATGAAAACAACAGACTGGCTTAAATACATATATTTGTGTAACATCTATCTAAATTATACAGGAAATGCATAACCTAGTCATTTAAAATAGTTCGATTTCTGCAGAAAAGCCTGTTAAAAAATAAAGGCTAAACTTCAATTTTTGCTAACAATTAATTTACTGTGTGAAATGAAGAAATTATAAGGCCCATCAGTTACTTAATAATCATTTATGTTATGAAGCATTAAAAAAATCATGAAGCAAAACAATTGGTCACATTATAAAACGTAAAATGAATACAAAGAATTATTTGTGTCGTTGCCACGGCTTTAATTTTCTTGTTCCAATCTTTTTATAGCTTTTGTCCATGCATCCCTTCTCCACAATAAGTATTTAGGAATCTAAGTTATGACATTGTGTTTTCTGTGTTTTGCCTATTTGAGCATCCATAAATTTGAATAAGAATGCCTTTATGAAATAAATATGTTTTGTTTTGTTAAAAACGTATTTAAAGTAGTAGCATAATATTTTGTTCCGCAACATTGTATTCTGTTTATGCACAGTTTTCATGTGTTTTCAATAAAAGAATTATTCTATGTTAAGAGCCGACCGTGAGATGTAAATATCATAATGTTACCATTTTCGAATTTTATGAAAATTATTTCATTAGAATATTTCATTTTTGATATTTCATTAGTTTTTTAACCTTTAACTATTTTATTCACCATTAAGTAATATCCTTATTTTTACATTAAACAAACCTTAAATATACGAACAAACAAAAACATCAAATAATTCACAAATGTCTGAAACATGTTAGATATATTTTGCTAATAAAAATTGCTTATTTTAACAATTAAAGTATGATTATTGTTAAATAACTTCTCTTTAAACTTGGTCTGGAGGCTTACCAGTAAACAGCTTTCTGCCTCCACTAAATAAAACATGAGTGACCTGAAATTGACCTTACATTCTGCAAGGCGTCTATAGGAAAAAAAGAAAATGACGTGCATAATCTCCATACTGCCATCTATCCATATATCAAGTTTCATAAAAATATTTTCAGTACTTTTTGGGGTATCGCGGGATCCAGGTTATGTGTAAAATTTGCCATATTTTCAGTCTATTTGTTGCCATAGCAACCAGAATTTTCAACATAGGAAGAAAAGAAAAAGACGTGCATAATCTCCAAACTGCCATCTATCCATATATCAAGTTTCATTAAAATATTTTCAGTACTTTTTGCGTTATCGCGGGATCCAGTTTTGTGGACGGACGGACTGACGGACGTACTTAGCAGACGTGTTTGTGGGGTTATTCCTTTGATCTCTTAACCCCACAAGAGCAATTTTTTTAACCCCATAAGAGCATTTTTAACCACATAATACATGTCTCTACGGAATGAACCCCATACAGAGTGCCTGTACATAAACCTAAACCTCATAATGTAGCTCTCGTCTGCTCGGATAGACGGACGGACGGTAAACCGGTAGGGGACTAATAAGGATATCCCTTGTTACTTTTTATCTACTATATATTTAAATTTGTAAAGCGGACAATTAGTTCCTGAAGATAGACCCCTACTCTTATCTATTTTAAGCAAAAAACATTACTGACATGTTATATAAAGCTCTCTTGAT